TAATAGTTATAATATAAGCCAAGATCTTCCCCTCCTTGCTCCTCACAAAGTATTAGCTATCAATGGGGCAAGTCAATAAAACATATAGAGATGAGAGGGGACCTTGCCTTTATATAGAAAATTATTTGAGTCGTCCCATTACGACTAGAATTCTAATTATGATTTATTTTCGACCTACATACTTTAAATTACCACATCAAATTAATTACAACTCGTAAGGTGTAAAAGACTCAATTGATCACTTAATAAATTTGGCCCAAACACAAATATCATTATAAGCCATATATCTAACCCGTAAAATTTACAATCGATTGTGAAACCCACGTATGGAATTATTAATTATTCCAACATTTCTCGCACCTTCTAAAACGAGCCATATACGGGATATTTATATAAAGTACATTGCAGACAAAATGAAATAAAAGGCTAGGATTAATTTCATATAATGGCCTGAATTAATTCCTGCTGACACATGCAGGTTGTATTTAATTCATGCAATGATTGTGTCCACAAAACAGCCATACAAGCCATACATCATCACGTAAACTTCCCACCAATCTAAGCCTTCAAAATATAAGGGAGTGTTTGATATCATGGAAATAAAAAAAAAAAAAAAAGATGGAATTGGAATTGGAAATTCCAACTTTTGGTGTTTGATACATTATATTTTCCATGGAATTGCATTTCTTGAATTTTTTGAAACTTGGAATTGTCCTTGTTTTGATGGAATTTGAATTCTCATCATATTGGTGAGAATTCAACCACCCTACTATAGCAACTTCTTTTTTTTTTTTACGTTTTTTTTTTGTTGGTAATGAAAACCAATTCTAAAAATTATTGTAAAAAAATATTTTCCTTTAATTGACAATTTTCATGTTAAACAAAGCCAAACGAACATAAAAAACACTTTTATTTCAACATTTTTCACCTAAAAAATTATACCAATCAAATACAATAATTTACAATTCCCAGAAAAACAATTCTAGGCAATTCAATTCGCTAGAATTCATTTTTTAGGCAATTCAATTCCATCTTTATAATCAAACAGACTCTAATAGTTTAAGGTTGGAAAACTTCAAAATTTCTGGGTCAAAATACACTATTCACATTTCCAGATTTCGTCCTCAGCAAGAAGGCAGTTTCGTCCAGCCGTAGCACCTTGTTTGTGCTGAATTTTCCCAATCACTGCCTAGGCGGATTCGGCCATGATTGCAGAGCGCAAGTTATTGCTCATTAAAATACTTAGATCGAATTTAAAACTAGGGAGGTAATCGGATTCTTTTCTCACAAACTTTTGGCTTGCCTTGTAAGACCAGTTAAAATTGTCCAAGTAAAATTATTAATAAATTAATTAAAATGGTTTATCATTGCTAAAATTTTATTGGTCCATTAAAAAATGACAGTTTTATAACTGTTCATTTTGACAGAAAGTGTGTAATTTTTTCACAGTCCATAAAACTGTATCTCATTGCCTATAAACGTGAATGGAATCCATAAAATTAAAACATTCAATTACATAGAGAGTTAAATAGAGAGAACCGTTTCTTTATTTTACTAGTTTCTTTTTTGCCGATTTAAATCTTTCAATTAATGTCATGGATCAAGGTATGTTTCTTAATTAATTAAATTTATATGTGAAAATCATGAATTTTAAGATTTTGATATTAGTGTTTAATTGCTTACATGTAGTATCAGAGTCAAGTTAGAGAATTCTTAATTTGCATTTAAAGATTAATGTTTTCCACTTATCAATCCTTAATTATTTCTTATAGATTTAAAGATCAAAGTTTCGTTGAAATTAATGAAACTAATTATTGTTAAAATTCACAGCTGCATTTTTCGATTTCGTGAAAATCCGTTTATGGGTCATTTTGTAATATCGCGCAGTCATTAATTGTGTTAATTGCTTCTAGGCAACGTCAAATCTCTTAATTATTTTAATATCAAACCTTGAACACTAGAGTTCTGACTCGAATCTCTTTAATGGTGAGGATTAAAATTAGAATTTTTTTTATCGAAGTTAATAATTAATTTTTTATACTTCATATAATTTACAATTTTTAATTCATGTATTTTATTAATTTTTATCGAAATTTACTAAAAATATAAATTAATCTTTACTAAACAAAGACTAAAAAAGTGTTTAGCCTATTTGACAAGGCGTTTGATTTTCCGGTTGATCCAGTGACTATTGCATAAGACTCAATTAGATTTTTGGTCGGAATTTTCCATGTAATTCAAGGAAGATTTTACAAGATCATGGTCACATGACTACTTTGCGGATTACTGACAACTGATTCGTTCACGATTCTAAAGCGACACGTCGATGACATGTCATAATCGAATTCCTGCTAAAGCAGTGACGTAGATGGCGGCCCTCCGCCACTTGCCGCCGTCACGGATGGGGCTGTGTTTGTGGTGGACTTTTCATGTCTAAAGTAAAAGTAAAATTAAAAGCCGCACGCATAATTATTGTGTAAAGACATTACTTATAATCATGGCTGCTGATTAAGCAATCATGTATTTTCTTGAAGATTCATGAATGTTTTGATAACATCATGTTTGGCTAAGCTTTAATATTTTTAAGTGTCCTTGAAATAAATAATAGATTATCCATCAAATTAAAAATAAGAAAATTACTTATTAAAATTTAATTAAATAGAAATTCCAATTAAAAGTTTTACAAGTGAAACAATAGGAAATCAAATTAAAGTAGGGTTCTTATGTAGCCTCCACGGACATGGTGCAGTGCTAAAGTAGGATGGTTCAACACGGAGCATCGAAGGTTCGAATTTTCGCAATAGCGGGAAAGCAATATTTATATTAGAAGGCAGTTGTCCTGTGGAGGCAAAGTTATGATGCACTTTGTCGCCCCTCCGGAGGTCCTGTCCGCACGACGTAAATGGAAGTCTACAGGGAGGATAACCACATCCCGAATGTTCAGCCCAAGTGTGTATAAGTTGTGTCCGCATCCGAATTTATCTGGGTGGAGAACCAAGGGGAAAAACCGTCACCCCTCGAGATTAGTCAGGCGAAGTTTGGATACCTAAGTTATCCAAAAAAAAAGTAGGGTTCTTATGTACTCGTCCCATAATGCATTTTGGTTTCTCCTAAAAAAGAGGATACCTTTTGCATTATGGGATAAGATTCACATACGAAGGGAATTTCTCACCGCAAAATGGCAGAATAACCTCACATCATATGAATGAAAACAAAATAAGAATAATGTCCATATGGCCACCAAGAGATTCACTCATGCCGTCAAAACAAAGTCATATTTGACAACCCTCCATACCAATTATAAGGCTCGAAGATTGATACAATCCAATCTTTCTCAAAATTTTCGAAAATGAGTGATCAAGAGATTTTTTAACGGGTGAATAATATCGACGATCACTGAAATTAAACATGTGTTATGATTTAATCATTCAATTTTATATTGTTAATTTAATTCATGAAGAAGTTGACATGATATCCTTGAAGACGGAATGATCAACTCGTAACAAAATTTTAAGTTTAGTGACCAACTTAACGAAATAAAGTCAAGTGACTTACATGAAATTTCGTTAAAAGTTCAGTGGCATTGAAATCTGGAGATAAGATTTAGATGAAAATTTGTATCTCGTTCTAATCATGTTATTCTATCCATTGAAAAACTTGTATCCAAATTGCGATTTTAAATTATTTTAAAATGATAAAGTTGCAAAAGCCACTTGCACCTATAATTTGCACATGATAAACATTACCATCTTGCATTAGAATAAGTGGATGGTGCAGGTGGTGGTTTGGGATCATATTTATTATTTTAAACCATTACTTTTATGAAAAATTGGTCCCGCTTTAATTCTTTATGAGATTGTTTGCCTTAGTTTATCATCTTTTAATGTTCTTGTTTTTTTTTTTTAATTATTATTATTATTTAGTACATATTATATATGCTGATTCAGAATACGGGTGGAGAGAATATTAGAGTAAAAGAAGGGGTTGAAACCAACACCTTTCTCAAATTCACGTTCGGTATAAATCAATTCAAATTTGAAGTACGATCGATTAGAGTACTCAAGTGAGACGTAATTAATAGTTTAGTCTATAAAAACATGTTAAGGTTTGCGTCGCCATCACTCGAGCCCCTAGCAAACTCGAACTTTACTTCTACAGATGGAAAGAAAATGGGGCCTCTGTTTGATTGATGTAGAAAGCTATGTATTTCACATTATAAGTTGGGACACAACATGACAAAATAACACAATTGGTATCAAGTCCCATGAATATATACTTAGTGATCAAATCATAATCATTTGAATCTGCCCCCGTTTGGTATCATTTAAAATTCAGATTTTAATCTAAGTCAAAATCAACAATCAATTTTTACAATATATTTTATAGGTTCCACAATTTTTTAACCACGTTTTCATCAATTTTATTAAAATCTACTAAAAATCTTATTTTAATCGACTAAAAATCACATGCCTCCGTCACCCAGAATGGTCCATGATTCAGACAGCTTGAATTGCAAGTCAATTTTTCATGTGAGGGTGAATAAATGCTGTCAAATTCCAGTATTCTAGGAATGACACAGGCAATCTTATGCAATTCTGTTTGTCCCAAAAATAAAGGCATATTTGGTAGACATTTTGGACATGATTAGACACTACAATAACCTAGATTTTAACTTCTTTTTCTTCTATTATATAAATAATAATAAAAAGTAAGAAAAAAAAGGGTTGAACCCCAACTTTGAGGCCCCCACCGCCCTGCCCCTAAAGTTTTGTGAGTGAGGTAAATTATGGGATGTGCCCCAACAGGTCAGAGAACAAGAGCCGTCTTATACTGCACTTACAAGGAGTTCAATTTCATGTCTCAGGAATCGAACCTCCACACTGCGGCTGCCAGCAAGGCGTGAGATAGCCTCACTCCTGTCCTTTACACCACTGGACTATGCCACGGAAGGCCTTTTTCTTCTATTATGTTTAATACTAATGTAGTCCAACACAAAAAAAGGAATGGAACAAAGAGATTTCACAATGCAAGAACAATGATGGAGGATGGAGCATAGTCGACATACAGCTAGAATAAACAATTATATGGTCGAACGATATGCAGGTTTTGCCATTAATCGAGTTTTAAGATCAAATGGGGGCTTGACTAAATCTCGGAAATATTCTGAAGTCCACGATTTCACCATTACTATTATCTACAGATTGCGTTGTGAAATCGACTAATAAACTGCTCACGAACATGACCTTATTAGGCCTAAATTGTAGAGGAATTTCTCCGACCTTGAGCGGAAGAGTTCACCAAAAGAGAATTTTCCCGTCTGTGGAATAGAGTACGAATCATCCTTCACACGGAGGATTGTTAGGCCTATTTCTTTACGAACTGCTTCTATTGTTTCACTTTTAACTGGGTATCCGGACGCATCAGCAACATAGAAAACGTTTACAGCCTGAGTACCTCGGGTTGTGACCTCTGCTCGCGTAACTGAAAGACCATTCTCTCTAAATATGCGAGTTACATCCGACAGAAGGCCGACCCTGTCTTCACTACATAATTCTAGTCTTATTCCCTGCATTATGCACGCAAATGTCACATGCAATTTGAATTTGAAACAGACCAAATGTAAACCGGCTTCAGATCAGTACCTCAGATGTTCGTCTCTTGATTGCTGCTTCCAAGCAATGAATTACACGTTGCTTCTCTGCTTCTGAACTAATGGGGCACCCGTCGACATGCCTTATATAATATTCCTAGCATAGAAAAGAACAGAACAGAACATAAATGACCGAGGATCCCATATGGAGATTTCCAATTTCATTGCCTCGTGACAGTTTCACAGTTAATTCATTGTAGTGGTCCGCACTAAATGCCAATATAGACCGGCAACCAAAATGCAATTCATTTATGGAATGTTTGGTAGGGAGAACCGGATATTAAAGAAGAAAAATAAACTAGAATCTCATTCTTATTCTATCTAGTCTTGTCTAGTACCGTATATACAATAAAGTGTATTTGCATATGCATAATCTTGCTGACTAGGAAACCACAATTTTACTTATATGGCAACTCCGTTTTCCAATAATCTGGAAGCACGCTAAAAACCAAATATTTCAACTCTAATTAATGAAAGGAAAGTTCAATCAACAAACTTCATGCTACAGAATACCTGATGTGCCTCTGGTCCTTCAGCAATGACAGTGGCATGGAAGACAACATATTGCATATCTGTCAATGTGCATACTGTGTCAAAAAGCAGCTTAGGACGATCTGGACAGCTCACGTTAACCACAGTGTAGCCTTTATCTACATAGTTTTCTGCAGTCACGAGGGGTTTGCTCCGATCAGATATCATGCAATTCATATTCTCATTCTCATTATCATAATCACGATCAGCATACATCATTTGATGCAGCCTCCTCTCTGTATGAGTAGAACCGACAGAAACTTCAGTGTTGGCGCTTCGCTTATCTGTGTCTCCTTTTAGAACATAAAGGAGAAGTTGCTTGATCTTAGCAAGTCGATCTGGATCGTCGATGGACAATCCATTTTCTTCGTCAGTTATATAAACAACCGAAGCCATTCTAGAGTTATGGGTCCATACTTCGGCAGCAACTACATTACACTTGAGGTTAGCAAGAATGGCAAAGACCTCAGAAATCAAGCCCGGTCGGTCTCTTCCCGACAACTCAATGGTCGTATGATCTGCCGTAGGTTGGATGCCCACAGATCTTGTCAAGGATCGAAAGCTGCGTCCCCTTGGTCCCAGTGACTGCAATATTATTCAATCATCAGTATTATTGAAGCTTATATGATTTGCAATTGATAGTATGAGAAATATCCATTGATTCTCCTTAGTTTACTCTATCCACGTTCACTGAGACGAAAACTTTCTTGTATTTATTTATGCGACCGAAGATCTGGATGCAGTAGAGGAATGATGTTTTATCTGTTCTTAATTTTTAACTTTACATGGATTTCAAACAAATATACCATACAATCAGCTGCTGATGTTGACAGACTCGTTAGTTTCCTTTTGAGTGCCGTAGCTGATGTGCTTGTAACAAATTCCGAGTTCTAAATTCAGAACGCTATAATAAATTAACAAATCAAGAAAATTAATGAAGTAAATCGCAAAACCTCATTGTATCCATGTAACAGTGAAATAACGGAATTTAGATCAGACAGAGTTATGAATCATAAAACTTTCTATCAAGAATTTAATGAAACCATTCTTAAATCATAAATTACGAAAATAGCTCCTTCAGAACAATTCTACACACTCCTATGAACAGCATGAACAAGTGATCTATTAACATTTTCAGATAAATACCTGCTGAATGCGCTCGGCAATGTTATCTTCAGAGACCTTATTTCCGTATTGATCAGTAACATGAAAAACTGGAGTTGACAAACATAAAAAATGCCAAAAAATCTACCATCAAAGAGAGTTAGACTAAAAATCTGTTTTAAGGAAATTTTTGAAGGAAAAAATTGATTACCATCCATAAACCATTCCCCATCTGAAGAAATGTAAGCCCTCCTGATTATCAGGTTCAGATCAGTAAGAACCTGAACCACCTCCAATAAACTTCCTCTCTTGTTTGCACTATCTACCTGAAAATCCCACAAAAACATATTAATCAAAACCAAAATTTTGTCCAAATGTAAAAACTTTCTTGATTTAATCAAATTCAAAATTCTATTACCTTGATCAAAGTAGCTTTCTTGTTTGATGCATTATCAACAGTTACCCTAGAAAAAACCCACATCAAAAGTAAAATTCAACAACCACACCTTGTCTTTCAAAATTTACCATTTTCAGTCATAAAAGTTACCGTATCAAAAAAGAGAATCAAAATTGACCAGTTACGGAATTCACACATATAGCATAAACAAGAAACAAAAAATCAAATTACCTTGGTGGGTTTATTCTAAGAACAAGCTTCTCAAATTCATCATCGACGCTAACAGATGGTGACCAGTAATCCATTTTTTTCAAAAATTTGACACAAAAACTGACCCAAAAATGCTCTGTTACGTATGGTGGAACAGTTTTTATTTAAGAAAATCTCGTGTAATCTGAAAGTGAGTAGCTGCAATCTGGGTTTGGATTCTGAGGTAGGAGAAAAAAGGGGTCTGAATTGTTGCGGTGTGTTGGTTAAAATAGGCAATGGCTCTTAAGCTGTACCAAGAGTTTTTGGAGGGACTCTTTTAACATTAGTTAGCACATTACATTACACATGGGAAAATGAGATGTAGTGAGAGAAATATAGAGAGAGAAAGGGGGGGCTCATACGAGTCCTCATGAGTCCTTGCTAACACAGGCTTGTCGCATGTGGGACCCCAGCAATCAACACCACTTGGTCTATGCTTTGTTATCTTGTTTATTCCCCATGGCAGCTCCATTTATTTTATTTAAAAATTTTGCTATTGGGTGATTAAGGTTAATGAGTCGAATTTAATTATTTTGGCGATATTATCTTTTTAGATTGATTGTTTTTAGACTGGTAAATTCATAAAGCATTCTGTCTCGATTCAAATAACAATCAGACTTCGGTGAATATGGTACTTTTATTAAATGATACTTTCGACAGGAAGGAGATAATCAAATAACTAATGTAACTTGATCAAGATAACGCAAATTAAATCAGAAAAAACTTAGCCCTTATTTGACAACCATTATTTTCTATTTTTTTCTCCACGTACTCGTTTTCAACTATACATTCACATTATAAAATACTCTTTACATAAATCTAAAAACTTTTATGGTACTTTTAAATCACACATTCTCTTAAAAATTACTATTCAAAGCTCTATTTTTCTCAAATAATGATTGCCAAATAAGGACTTAATTATAGTTCAAATATTATTTATATAGTTGAGTTAAATTTAAATTGAAACTCTAAAATGTATAATCTTTATATAATATGCAACGTTATAAAATTCAAAAATTAAATATTTAGAATTTAATAAAAGAATTTCAGAACCAACCAATTTACCCCAAAAATTAATTGATTCACCTTACAAAAATTTGTTTCCTTAATAATATGAGAATATCATAAGGTTTCTATAAAAAGACAAAAGCTAATAAAAGATTTAGTAAAATAAATAAAGAATATTGAAAAAAATAACTAGTTCTAAATTGTTACAAATGTAAATTCTTTAACTAAGGATCAACTTGAAGAGCTTTACTATATACTTCTCTTGTGGTGGGGTATCCTCGAAATAAATTTTCAGTGAGAGACATTAATAAGTACGTTTAACCTACTTTTTGGACACCCCACTACGTAAATTATCTTTCTTATTTATCGTTTGGAAGTATCGGAAGAAGACGCTATTCGACAATACATGTTAACACAAGAGTAATAGACTAATTTCTATATGAATTATATTGATGTGAAGTGTTGTAATTTCAATATCAGTTGAAAATGTGGTATGACACATTTTGTTAGTCTAATATGGTATGGTTTAGTCCTTGAACTAATTGCAAAATATTGGCAACCTCTTTTTAATATTTGCCAACAATGATTGATTATGATTTACGATTCCAAATCCCTTCATCTCTCCATTAACTCTTTAATTAAGTGCACTTCTAATGAGAATCTCTATCTTTGAGATCCACTCCCACCCCCATTATACATTGCAATTTGTTTAGTGGTGATAGGACGTTAGTAACGAGCCAATTGAGGGGCGAGCTCGTCGATTTCCATTTTTTAAAAGTTAAATAGATAAAAACAAAATACAATTATACAAACCCTTCTTTGTTATTCGAGCCTGGGATCGGCTACTTAAATTTTGAGTAGGCGGAGTTAAAAATTGTACACAAACGTCTTATAAGTTGTAGCATGTACAAATTTTTTAAAGAAAATTAAAAACGATATTATAAAATAACAAATTCTGATTAATATGATTAAAATTGCATCAAATATCACTTATGACTTACCTAACGACATGTAATTTCGACAAATTAAAATTTATCTTGTCGTCGAAAATGAGCGTCTTGTCAAATCCTTCACATACATTAATAATGCTTCCAAAATACTTATTGCCAATTTATGTGGACGGTGACATTTCAATTTCCAATTTAGCGTATGCCGCATAAATCCAATTTCTCGTATGCCACATAGATTCATGTTCGAATCAATGTGGCATATGATAAATTGGAACAGTAAGAAAATTGTAATTGGATGAAGTAGAAGAAGTGAAGAATAAATAATTTGAAGATGAAAGTGGGTGAGCCTTGTGAGGATATTTATAGGCAAATGTTTTGAGGGAAAAAATGTAGTCGAAATTCGCCCACTGTAGCATAGGAGCCACAAGCCAGGCTCGCAAACAAGCGACTCACTCGTTTGGCAAGTTGAGGCCTCGGCTCGGCTCGCCAAACGTGGCCCTGCGCTCGGCTCAAGCTCGGGATTTGACGAGCTTGAACCGCCCACTAGCTCAGTTTTGAAAAGCCGAGCTAAAAGTCGTTCGGCTCGTTTGAGAGTCACTCCCACCCCCATTCGGCTCGAGCTCGTGATTTGACAATCCCGAATCGTCCACTAGCCCAATTTTGACGAGCCACTTGGCCTGTTTGAGATCCACTCCCACCCCCATTATACATTGCAATTTGTTACTATTGGGTTTAATGGTACAAGGAATTTGAGCATTTATTGTACTCTAATTTGTTCCTTATTTAGATCATTTTCTTTTTTTAGTGTGTCATCATGCTTTCATCATTTTGTATCACCATCCAAAAAATTATATTTCATTCATTCTTATTTTGGCGGGATACACCTAAACAATTGAACCCCATTTGAGAGCAATTTTTCATCCCAAAAAATCAATTTTTTGATCATTATTTCATTATTGTAGTCGTCATTTTTTACTTCTTCATTCACAGGTGAAATCTATTTTTCTCTCTAATAATCAAAAAATCAATTCTTATAATTACTATTGAACAGGCCTTGAGTAAAAAATATTTCAAGTTGTCTAAGAAACATAAGTTGTAGTGCAAACGCAAAGAATGAGAAAAATACCCCAATCTAATTTTGTTTGTTCATAATGTCGCGAAAAGATAAAAATTAAAGAAACTCTAATATTTTATAGTAATATATAAAAGAGAACAATCAAGAAAATAACACAACTTCAAATTGGGTTTCAATAAGAAAATCTAAAATTGTAAATTTTGTAGTAATTTGTCGTGTGATATGAAATAAAAGAATTCATTACTAGTATCAATTCAAGTTATCTCTATTTTTTTATTTTTTTTTATTGTAAAGTTGTAACTTCATCATTATTATTATTTTATTTATTTTTTTGGGGGTAGCTTATGAAATTGAACTAGCAAATGAAAATACACCACCTGGAGTCTTATATAATTTTGTCTTTTCTTTATTTAAATCCTATCTTTGACAAATTTAATACTATTTAAAAATCAATAAAACGTGTACCATTTAAAATATGTATCCCCTAGCCAGAAGCCCATACAAGTTGAGCACAACATTTTGCCTTTTTGTGGTGTAAAGTAACCATTGCCTTTATGTCAAATAATAGTTGGATATACAAATTTGCATGATAATTAATTAAGATTCTTGACTTTGTCTACATTCTATATTCACATTAGTAGGGATATTGTGGAGATCCCCCTCATGCCCACGCTTCGATGAAGGGAATCTACATAATGTAGAGACAGTGGATCAGAGGGGTTTAAATGTATTGATTTGGGAAATGTTGTCCCGATTGGGAAGGTATTTTAAATTATTTTGTGGAATTTACTTTTAAGTCATTTCACAATTATTAATTAGTGAGAATCAAATATGAAATAATCTCCTGTGTTCTCGCATGGTCCACGTAATTTCATTTTCCGATCTAAATAAACATGGTTGAGTACAAAAAAAATGTCTTGAGAAATTCTAAGGACTCACTTGTTGGAGCTTGAAGTTCTGTCCCAAAAAAATGTTTGAAATATGACTTGTGAGAGGATTGTTTTTGAAATGAATAATGCATAATCAAAATGGCAAAGTTTAATTCGCAGGAGCGTAATTAAACATGACAAAATAATGATATATAGACCACAAAAAGAAAGGAAACAAGAATTGAAGAAAGAAGAATCCGAGGCAAGCGATAATCACTCTTTTCTTAAAACAATATTTTCTCACAACGATGCTCACAGATTATGGTACTTGTCTCCCAAGATGCAACGGATATGGCTTGTGATGAAAGCACTTCAAACCACAAGTTCCAACAAATTTTTTAATAGAATTTCCCTCTTTAGAAGGAAGATGATAGGGATAATTTTGGAGATGATTTTGCAAGAAATTCAATGAAATGCTCAATGCAAAAGTGATATGAAATGCATTATGGGCGTCCAAAGTGTCCTATTTATAGAGGATTGGGGATTGTGGGTGAAGTGACACGCATCAAACCTAGTAACTTTATGGAAGGAAGCATCACTTACTATCGCTAGCTTATCGCTGACCTCTTGCTCGAGCACCAATGTCAAATTTTTAATAGAAACTTTCGTCCACCTCTCGCTCAAGTGATCGACTTATGCGAAATTCAGACCAGTTTTTTCTCTATTTTCTTCTAATTTTGGACTGCAATTCCTCATTCATTCGAAAATGATTTTGAAATTTCAAATATATCACAACAATCTACTCAACAAGTTAAACAAATTGGTCTATTTGCATTTGTAGTTTGACCATCATATCAAGTCCGCATATCTAATCGAAGTTGACACGAATGCCACTTTTCCATTTTTATATTTAACCAAATTTCTCAATTCAAAACCAATGTTCATCTAAAAATTAACTTATGAACTCAATCTTTTTATGTTATGTTGAACAAACTATTGGATCATCGTGGTCTCAATTGATGACACCTACCGTCCATGTGATTTCAATTGAGAACACTCTATACTCCTTGAAAATCTACGTGATCTCCCCATCAAATTTTGACAATCACGTTTCGATAACTTTAACTTATATATTCACATGGCTAAGTGTTGGCAATAACTCTGAAACTACTCATAGTAACTTCTACCTCGAAAATTAGAAAAATAGCTCAACTTATTTATAAATAGAAGATATCTACATTCATGTTTAACCAGTATAAAACATTTATTAACATATCTCTAACGAGATTTTTAAATAAAACAAAATGGATTCTGATACGAGGAGTCATGTTGAAAATTCTATCAATCAATTAAAACACTTTTTTTAACAACTAACAAACAATTTATTTATCAACCTCAAAC